AATTAAGTTTATTCATGGGGGGAGGTGAAATAGATAATACTATAACTAAAATAACAAGAAATGCCACTAAGACAAGTAGTGAGAGAATTAGTTTTAATTTAATTTAAAAAGTTAACGAATCATAAAACAAAAATAATATCTTGAAATGGTTATAGAAAAAAAGTATCAAAGACTATAATTGTAATATGGCAAAACACTAATAGAAGAATAAATGTATTAAACTGAAAGTAAATATAAATAACTGTACAAAATGAAGAGAACTATATTATAACTAATAAATAAGGAAATTAATAATCAAATAAAGAAAAATAAATAAACAAGAAGAGGATCAAACTAATAATAAAAGAAGATATAAAACCACATAATTAAATTATTCAACACATAAACGTTTTTAAAAGTGTTATTATTAATTTTTAATTTTTTTTTAAATTCCAAAATAGTTGTTTACTTCTTAGTTTTAAAAATAATACTTTAATACTTTGTTAATAAAACTTTTAATCACTAAATTTAATGCAATCCCCACTATCTTCAACTGAGGAAGAAATCACTCTCGATTCATTATCACTGGAATTACTAAGCCATATAGCAGTTGAATTAGAACCAAAAGATGTACTAAATTTATCGTTAACTTGTAAAAAATTTTCACCATTAATTAAAGATGTAGATTATTGGCACCATACATTAGGATATAGTAAAGACGATGAAAAAAGATCTATTAAAGAATACCAAGAAGATTATGTTATTATCAAACAATTTCAACCAAAAGATAGTTATTCAACAACGACTGACTTTTCACAAAAGAATAAACCAAAATCATTACCACACCGTCGAGGGACAAAAATTGTTTGGGTATTTGTAACTATATTATTAAATATATCTTGGGATTATATCTCATATTTTTGTGATATTATCTTTCTTGTATTATTGGTATTAAGGTTAGACAGGGTGTTTATGTTTCCAAGTATCGTTCCTTTCTTATTCTTTTCAGTGTCAATAATAACAAAAACCTTTTTTCCGTATCTTGCAATTATTGGTTTAAGATATATTTATGGACCATTCTTTGATTTAGCTTATCTTCCACAACAAAATGTTTCTATTATTTTAATTTCTTCAATATATTTATACTCTTCTCCATACATTGGTGTGATGTCATTCTTTAGTATACTTATTTTCTTTTTTTATATATTAGTCTTATGTTACGTCAGTAATATCATTGGATTTATATTCGTATTAATTCCTCCATTTCTCTGTGCTGTACTTGCAGTATTTTCTTGTGCAAATTTTACCTGTTTACCTGTATATAAACGAGCTCCATGTTCATTTACTAAAGTTATATATTGTACGATACCGTCATGTAGTATTGTAGCTTCTATAATACTTATTGCATTAGCAAGTCTTGGAGGTGAATACGTTCCATATTATGCATCATTTTTACCGTTATACGTTGGTTCAATTTATGAAATTATTTTATTTACTTTTACAACGATATATTTATCATGTTGTAGTAACAAGTTGTTAGTATCAGATCTTCCTTGCTATTTTTTATTCTTTCCGTGTTATGAAAAAAAAACTGTTAGTGAAGCAATAACAATGAACCAATTTCTTTTATTTTTATTAACCTTTGTTTCAATACCATTAGCAATATTTCTTATATTATTATCAATGAAATTAGATGGTTTTGTTGATGTAAAATTTCTCTACATATTTATACCTTTCTTCTTTTTAGAATTAAGCATTGTTTTCTTTAATCTAGCAATTCATATTGGGTGTTGTATAACTCATGGATTTAGTGAAAGTAATAATTATAAAATACACAACAATGCAGAAGATATTTCAAGTTTTGATGAACAAGAAATGGATACTCTACCACCAGCAGTAATTCGTGGTAAAAAACTAAACTTACCACACAAGTAAATATTATTTAAAATGTTGAATTAAATTTATAACTCTTCATAGTTTTTTTTTTAAGACTCTTCAATAACTGATTGTTCTCTGTATCCTTTTGTTGTTTGAATCAAATCATAGTCAACAATTCCTGTTTCTGGGTCTGTAGCAGCTTGATGAATAGCTGATGTTACTAATCGAATAGCCTCTTTGACATCTCTTGCATTAACTTTTTCTCTTAATTGCATTTTAGCAAGAGCCTCAGAGATACGGATAAGTGATTCAAGCTGTCTTGTTGTAGCAGAAATAGTTTTATGAGTTTTGTTTTCACTTCCAATCTTTCTCATTTCTAAATATCCTTTAACCAACTCCGTTCTTGCTTCATCAGTTAATACTGGCTTACATCGTTTACGAGCATACCTAACAAATGAACTAAATGTAGAAATGTCTAACGCATCAGTTATAATTTCATGGCCCCAGTACAATGAAATAATATGTCGGGCTAATTTTCTATCTCTTTCAGGATTTGGTTGATCAAGTATAAGATAAATCAAATCAAATCGTGATAATAATGAGGGTGGCATTTGAATATTATCTAATACACTTAATTTTGGATTATACCTTGATTCTTTTGGATTTGCTGATGCTAATATTGCTGTACGTGCATTTAATGAACATACTATTCCACTTTTTGCAACTGAAATTGTTTGTTGCTCCATTGCCTCATGCAATACACTTCGTGTCATTTCTGTCATTTTATCAAATTCATCAATACAACACAATCCTTTATCACTCATAACCAATGCCCCACTTTCTAATACTGTTCCTCCTTCTTCAGACTTTCCAACAAATGCTGTTAATCCAACAGCACTTGATCCTCTTCCTGAGGTATACATTCCACGTGGAGCGACTTTATGCATAAATGTTAATAATTGACTTTTAGAAGTTCCAGGATCACCAAGCATTAAAATGTTAATGTCTCCTCTCAACTTTTGGTTATCTTGTAATGTCTTTGCTGAACCGCCAAATAATTGGCATAATAACCCCTTCTTTACATCATCCATCTCTGTAATAGAAGGTGCAACTGATCTAGTTAATCTTTCATACCAATCGTCATTAACTAATGTAGTAAAATCAATATCAACTTCTGTCTCTTTTGAATATTTTTTAATATGAATAACATCAATATAAGACCTAAAAACTGCTCTCACTGTCCTTTGTGAAACTCCTATTTTGACTGGATCAGCTCTATAAACTCCAGTAACTTCAATACGATCACCTGGTTTTGCTGAATCAACAAGTGAGTCAAATGCAAGTAAATGAAGTGTTTGTGGAGTTTCACCTGCTGGAATTGCTTCAGGAGATTCTTGAAGTCGAATAATTTGTTTATCAATATAGTATGATAGAGTATGTATTAGTTGCAATGTTCCTGTTTTCTTACAATGAGGACATTTAGCAGGAACAGTTAATGTACCACGAACATCTACAACTAAATCAACATTATAATTACACTCAGTACATTTAAAATAACCAGATTTCATTGATGGAATAATATTACCTACTCTTGTAACCATTCCTCGAACACTCACCAATCGCTCTATATCACTTGGTGAAAGTCCTCTAATACGTTTAACTTGAGATAACCCAAATACACGAACTTCAACTTCTTCATATCCCATTTCACTTACAACTAGATCATATAAATGTAATATTTGAGTTGGATATTCAATAGTACATTTATATAAATTTTTATCAAATTCTAATACATCAGGTAAATATATATCAATAAAATGAGTTTCGTTTGAATTTTCCAAAAGGAGATGGTATTTAGGAGAAGAAAGAAATTGTTGAATCGTTTTCTTAACTTCTTTGTATTGGATAGTGGTACCCCAAATAACTTCAGTCATTTTTTATTCTTTTAAGTTTTTGTTTTTCTTTTAAGAAACTTTATTTTTGTGTTATTTAAACAACTAATAAAATGAAGATGAGTCAATGAAAGAATTGTTTCTTTTGATAATAAAAGAAAAACTAAATGAAGATATTATTATTATTAAAAGGATAAATTAATTTGTTGAAAGAAGAAAAGAAATGAAATGAACAAAGTTTACTAACAGCAACAAGTTTCAAATATTTCCAAAACTGAGTCCATCCAATATGAAAAATGAGAATGTAACTTTTTATCAAACTTTCTTCTAAATACAAAGGCGTCTTGATATGTTTTATCGAAGTGATAATAATTCTTTACTGTATCTTCATGAATAAAATAATGGTTTTGATAAAATGAATGAACAGGAGTATTTGATGCTAATGCATGAAGATAAACTGAACTTACTCCTAATTCTTTCATATAACTACAACCTTTTTCTAAAAGATATCCACCAATTCCTTGTGTTTGGTACTTTCTATCTACACCTAATGTAAGTAATCCAGCTTGAGTAGTAATTTCTTCTTTTTGATTAAGCCACTCAATTCTAAAACTTGCAAATCCAATTATTTGGGCATTTAATACAGCAACAAGTAATATATATCCATGCCCATTAATAAGTTGTTCATAAAAATGGTGTCCATATTTAACGCATAGTAAGTTATCGTGAAGTTCTTTAACCCTTCTTAAATCTTCATGTTCTGCCTTTCGAATAAACAATTTGTTCATCGTTTCAGTTTATAAGTTCTTTTTTCCTTTTTTAACTGTTTCTTTCTATTATTATTCTGACCCATTGAATTTTTCTTTTGCTATTATCTGGTTTAGATTTATTTGTACTCTCTTTTTTCTATTTCTTTTTTCTCTTATTATTTTATTACATTGATTATTTCTTTGTATTTCATCTAATTTACCTAAGTTTCTTTATAATTGTTTTATTGCATCCAATTTTATTATAAAAAACTATATAAGGTTATTATTAAAAAGAAAAGAAAAAACCCTGAAGAACTATGAAATGTGCAGAACAAAGCGATGGCCATCGATTTAGACAGACATCATGTTCGTAAACACGTTTCAAAGACCGCTCGTGGAAACAACGCTTATATGAAACTTCTTGTTCGCCTTTATGGTTTCCTTGCCAGAAGAACACAATCTAAATTTGCTAAAACAATCTTACACAGACTTTGCTTAAGCCGTGTTAATAGACCAATCGTTTCTACTAGCAAATTAGCATGCCTTATGAAGAAACACCCAGAAGAAACTGCAGTCTGTGTCAATACAGTCACTTATGACAGTAGATATCCAGTTCCAAAAATGAATGTTTGTGCTCTTAAATTCACTAAAACAGCAGAAGCAGCCATCACTAAAGCTGGTGGAAAGTGTTTAAGATTTGATGAACTTGCACTTAAAGCACCAACTGGAAGAAAGACTGTCCTCATTAGAGGAAAGAGAAATGTTAGAGAAGCACTCAAACACTTCGGTAAAGTTTGTGCTAAGAAGAACCCAGCTAAGCAATACAAGGGAAAACAAACTAAATAAATTGCATGGATTTTTTTTTGTTATTTCTTCTTTTTAATTTATTTGCTTTTTGAGATTTTACTTAGATTATGCTGAATATATAAATATAGTGAAAAGGTATCTTTATTTCAATCGTTGATTCTAAGAAATAATTTAATGGAAGAAATTAATAAAGGTATCAATTTAAATTTTGATATGGAAAAAGATGCTTTGGTTGAATGGGTTAAATATGGAAGATTATTAAAGATTATTTGTGGTGATTTTGTTACTTATCCCCCTGGAGTTAAACCAACTTTACGAACAACAGAAACAATTGATTGGAGAACTCCTTTTAATTCGTACTTCTAAAAATTCAATAAGAAAGACAAACTTAATATGCATGAGTGATACTAAAATAATATTTTGAATATAAAATTTTAATAGAAATATTATTTATATCATTTAACTTTTATTTATTTGAGTATTACTAATAATTTAGCTATTTAATTGTTTTCAAATCATATTTTTAATTGTATGAAATGTTGTAAGTATAATAATAATTATATAAAGAGATTCTAAAAATAAAACAATCTTTTTTTCTTTTATTGTTATTAATTACTTGAATAATTAACCATTTTTAATTATATTCAGTGAATTAGAGGTTTAATTAAGCAGTGTTTTTGTTAAATTATTTTAAATATAATTATTAAGAAGTTAAACCAGAAGTAATTTGTTAGAGGGAAGTTAAATTAATTAATAGAATAAATATTATTGTGACTATAATAAATGAAACAGCATGAAACAATTAAATTAAATGATTGACAATTAAATGAATCAATAATAAGTTTGTAAACAATAAAAATAAAATAATAACTCTATATTCAACATCTAATATAATAGGTAATAGAACTATTTTTCCTTTTTAAAGTAATAATCATTATTTTAGAAATTATCTTTTGACAATACTTAAAAATACTGTGTAATGTAATTTAATATATAAAAATTTATTTACATTATTTAGAGTCAAATATCTGGGTATTGGATGGAATAAAATCTCATCTAATTGAATAGACTTGTTATTATCAAAGTATTTATAGAAGAATATCTAAAAAAAGAAGAACAGAATTTATTAATGAATTTAGTTTATAAAAATCAAAAATTAATTAATGATTTTTTTAATTGAGTATTATATAAGAACAATTAAATAGATACAAAGGTTAATAATGATTGAAAATGATAAATTATTATTAATTAGAATTAGAATAATAAATGAAATAAAGTGTACAATAAAAATTGATTAAATTATAAATTAAAAATAGTTAACATTAATGATTTGTATTTAATTTTTAAATACTTTTGAAATTATAACCAATAAACTTTTTAAATGTTGTCTTTTAAAGAGTATTTTTTTTAAAATGAAAGGAGTTAATTTAAAAGTAACTACATTTTTAATTGGTTTATTTTATGAACTCAAGTAAACTGAAATAAAGTAAAAACACTTTCATTCTCAAATTGAAAAATTAATTATTTAAAAACGAAATATCAAATAAAGAAAATGTTGTACGATTGAATTAATTATTTTCAAATGAATAAGTATTCCTATTAATATACAATATGAAAGTTCTATATTTAATAATTTAAAAATAATATTTTTTTTTTAATTTTTAAAGAAATTTTTTGAATGAAATTGAGGGTTTAGCCATTGAAATGTTCTGGTGATAGTTTGAAATGGAAGTCCTAAAACTAAGAAAAGCAAAACAAAAAAATTAAATTAGAAAGAATGAATATAGGTGAAACTGCTATTAGTTTGGAAGAGTATGTTCAACATAAAGTCGCAGAACGAGAAATTACCATTCTTAAACAACAAAATGAACGATTAAAAAAAGAAAATGATGAAATAAAAGAAACTATTGATTCGTATCAAAAAGCAATTAACAATAAAACAACAGAAATACAACGAATTGTTACTGATTCAATGAAATATGAAAGTGATATTGAAATAGCAAAATTAAAGTATGAAGCATTGGAACAAAAAATAGAAAATAAACAACGAACACTTATTTCCAAAAAGGAAATTAATAAAAAACCTCCCAAACAATTTAAATTCATTACACCAAATGTTTATAAAAAAAAGGCTATTAAACAAAAACCTGTAAAAAGAGTTTATAGAAAAAGAGAGAAAGGAAATAAAATAAAAAGTAAGTCTTCAATACTAGAAAATACTACCACCCTTCTTAACGATGAACCTTCAACAACTGAATTAACATCAAGTATTGATAATCAAAATAGTCAAACAACTGATAGTATTTCATCAAATGTTCCATATAAAACAGATATTGATGGAAATGTTTCTGTTCGTATGAGAGATATTTGGGATGACCCATCTGTTAATGATCTTGTTGTAAATTATATAATGATTTTTACTATTGTTGCAAGTAAATTAAGTTCTCCTCCATTTGAACTTTTTAATGATTGTCCTTGTTTTACTGCTCGAGACATTTATTTAGAATTTTGTTCAATTAAAGGGATATCGTATGTTTCTGTTGATGAACCTCTAAAAGAGAAGTTGATAGCTATCAATGTAGATATTTTTTGTAGATGTATAAGGTTAATAGAAACAATTCAAAAAGCGAGTTGTCGTTTATGTGTGATTGAATCTCCATTACGAATTGTGTTTCTTAAATAATTTCATTCTAATAAAAATTGTTAGAATAATTAATTTGTTCATTCTTTTTTTATTTTTATTTTTTTTTTCTTAAAAAAAAGGAAATTTATTTTATTCTTCCTTGTTTCAAAGAATGGTTTGTTTTCTTTGGTTTTATTTCATTTCCCTTAACACTTATTAAATAAGGAAAACAATAAAAAATTAAATCTTTTACATGAAAAAGCTTTAAGTGGTGATAGTAATTCACAACTTCTATTAGGAATTTATTTTGCTGATACTTTAAAACAATATGAAAATTCTTTTAAATGGTTAACAATGTCTGCAGAACAAGAAAATACTATTGCACAATTTAAACTTGGGGAATGTTATTTGTATGGAAAAGGAGTTCCAAAAAATTCTTCAAAAGGATTTAAATGGATGTTAAAAGCTGCTACAAAAGGATACACTGAAGCTCAATTATTAGTTTCAACTTGTTATTTTTCAGCAGATGGTGTAAAAAGATCTTCAAAATTGGGGTTTGAATGGTTGTTAAAAGCTGCACAACAAGGAAATGTTAAAGGAATGAATGGTGTAGCATTGTGTTATTTAAATGGACTTGGAACAGTATCTAATTTAGATGAAGCGACTCACTGGTTTGAAAAAGCAGTAGAAAAAGGAAATAAAGGGTCACTTATGTCATTAGGAGAATGTTATATAAAAAGAGGTCAAATGGAATTAGCATTTAAAACATATAAAATTGCTGCAGATAATAATAATTTAAAAGCACAACTATTTGTTGCTAATATGTTATTAAATGGAGAAGGAATTGAGTGTGATGAAGAAGAAGCAATTCATTATTTAGAAAAAGCAGCTGAATTAGGTTCAAAGGATGCAGTAAAAAAATTAGCTGAAATACAAGAGAATCATAAAAAAGTTAATGACTATATTAATTCAATGAATAATAAATCTGGGATATTACCTAACTTAGGAATAGTCTTTTGGATTCTTTGTATATTAGTTGCTCTTGGTGGTGTTTATTTATATCAAATATCTAACAACTAATAACAAGTTAATTACACAGTTTTTATATTATTATTTTATTTTTTTATTCTAATTATTGTGTTATGTCACTCTGAATATCTAAAAATTCATATTTTTTTTAATAGTAAATTTTATTGAAGAATACTTCTTGTAAATAATTTAAAAAAGAGATGGAATAATTTAGATATTAAGAAATAAATCTGAACTATAATTAATTAATTTTTTAGTTCATCTTTTATAATTATTTATCAACAAATAAATTATAATTTATTATTTTTTCTTTTTTCAGTCTTCTAGTAGTAACTCTATAAATGGATTAGTAAATGCAGAAAGCATTAGATTAATAAATGAATCAAAAATTGAAATGGCACTATAAAAGAAACCAAGTGATAGAAAACGATTCAGAGGTGGTGTTAGTCTCTGATGGACTAAAAATAATAGAAATAATTCTATTATCACTAAATTAATTACTTTTTATTTGTTTTTCATTTTTTAATCTCCATAGTTTAATCTAACTAATTAGGTTCTAATTAATAAAAAATAATTATAAAGAAATAGAAATCAACAATTTAACTTATTTGTTGTTAATAAAAAACAAAATCTATTTTTATATAATATTTTTTCAAATTTTTATTATTTTATGAGAATTTCAATTTTATTTATAATAATTAATCTATTTTTATATAGTTTTATTTATAATATACGAAAAATAAATCCTTCTTTCAAATTTGAGTTTATTATTAAAAATCTCTTTCAATAAAACCAAGCTTAATCTAAAATTATTAGTTAAATGAGCGGAATTGGAGAGGCATTTGGAAGAAAGTTTTATCAAATTAAAACCCATGTTGGAGCAGGTCAAAAAACTATGGACAGTGACGTTCAATATGCCAAGAATAAGCTCAGTGAATCATATAAAAAGTTTAAGAATATTTTAGAAGTTATTAAGAAGCTAGCACCTACTATTCATGCTACTAATTTGATGCAAGTTGAAGTTTTAACATCATTAGGTGATTGTGTTGTTAATAATAGTCCCGAAACAAAGACAGATATAGATTCTATTATTTCAACGTTCCAAAAAATAGATGAAGGGGTTAATACATATGAAACAAGAATTGAGAGTGATATTATTGTTCCATTAAAAACTTATATGGAACAATTCAAAATAATGGAAAAAAGATTTGAAATTTGTCATAATAGAAGAATTGATATGGATAGATATCATGACTCAGTTCTCAGTATTTCTAAGAAACCACCAGGAAAACAAAGTGGACTTGCAGAAGCACAGAATAAATACAATGTTGCTAGAGACCTTTACAATTACCTAAGAAATGAAATTATTGCTGATGTTGAAAAATTAACATCTTCTGCTGATGAAGTTGTTTCTCCAATTTGTGGTACTCTTATTGTTAGTTATACAGATTATTTGAATCATTTAAATAATTATTGGGGAGAAGCATCAGAAGTTTCTAGTAATTTCAGAATTTGTGCACTTGACCCAGCACCAATTATTACTCCAGGAGAATCATCAATGGTTATTGATGCAAATGTTTTCTCAAAGAAATCTAGTGATGTCATGGATGGAACATATGAACCATCTGAATTTGAAAATTCAGGAAGTTCTACAACAACAAGTACAACTAGTGTTAAAACAACAGTAAGTACATCTAGTGGAAAAAGACCCCCACCCCCACCACCAACAAGAAAAGAACAAGTAAGATGTGAATATGAATATCAAGCACAAGAAGAAGGAGAGTTATCATTTAAAGAAGGAGATATTATTACAGTATTAAAGAAAGAAGGAGATTGGTGGCTTGGAGAATTAAAAGGACAACAAGGATACTTCCCATACAATTATGTTTGTCCACTCTAAAATTCATATTTGAATTAAAGGATTATTTCATTTTGTTCTTTTTTTAATTTAAAAATAAAAGAACTTTTATTAAAATAATGGAAGGGATTTGGAGATTTAAATATCCATTAGTTTGTGGTATTTGTGGGAGTATTGGAGGATTATTTAGTAAAGGAATTAGTTCAACATATATTCCATTTGCACAAAATCAATTTAGTATTATTATAAGATTTTTATGTGTTATATTAATGTTTGGATGTAATAGTGCTGGAGGATTCTTTTTTGCAAAAGCACTTAGTGAATTACCATCTCTTACAGTAACAATTATATCTACTATAACAGGATTTATTATGTCTGGAATTATTGGAGGATTAATAGGAGAATATATTCCAATACAATGGTATTTTGGAATGATTATTCTCATAATAGGAGTAATTTTACTTATTGTTGATAACTATGAAAAAGAACAACAGTATCAAACAGATATTAAAGAAGAATAAACTTCTTTAAGATAATAATATATTTATTAATAATTGGTTTGTTGTTATAATAAAATAAAGAAGAAATTTAAATTAAACAATCAATGAAATAATAATATTTTTTATTTTATATTCATTTCAAATCCACCTTCTTCAATATCTTCATCTTTATAGTCTCTAAATCTTGGATCAATTATATTATAACCATTAAAATATACTTCACCAGTTCCTCGTACTATAAAATCTACATATTGTAAGTCAAATTCAAGATGAAGTAATTCTGTAGGAATTGTTTTGCAAAGTCGAGCAATATAAATTTCTTTCATTTTATTATCATCACTCTCATCATCTTCAATTTCAAAAGATACAATACACTCTCCATTAAGAACAGAAATTGTAGTAAGAACATACATTAATCCTTCTTCAATTTCTAAGTGAAATTTAGTACCATTTTCTGATGCTTTAACATTGAAAAAATGAGTAGTCATAATTTGATTTTCAAGTTTTTAGGTGTTTTAATTTCTATTAAAATTTTAATAGAATTATACTATAACAATATCATTGATTATTTTTTTTTTTTTTTTTTTAATACTAATTTCTATTCCAATATTTTTTTTAATATAAATAACCATTAATTGTTTTGTTGAAATATTCAACTTCATCACTTTTGGTTTATTAAAGAGAATTGAAAGAATGTTAAACTAAAAGAAGACAAAAATGATTTTTTCATTTTTAAAAACTTCATTGAAATTAATATAAAATGATAAATTTTAGAACTTTTATCTATCAAATTAATGTTATTTTTTGGAAGAGTTATTTCTCAAGAAAAACAAGTTCGATTAACTTCAATCAATTTTGAAATAGAGACTATTGGTAATAATGCTAAAGTTAAGGCTATTCATTCAATATTGAATGAATCTAATAATGAATGTAATGTTAGTATTATTATGACATTAGATGATGAATCTGCTGTTACTGGATATTCAATTAAAACAGTTAATGGAGAAATTGAATCAGAACTAAAAGAAAAAGAACAAGCAAAGATTGAACAAAGTGATGCAACAACAAATGGATATAGTTCAAGTATAATGGAACAAGTTGATGATACAACATTTAGTATTTTACTTGGATTAGTCAATAAACATAGTGAAGTAACATTTAGTATTGAATATCTCACACATATGGAGATTCAAGAAGAAGAATTAATAATTAAGATTCCTAATTTAATTGAATCTAAAGAAAAATATCAAATTCCATATTCAATTAAAATTATAGGAAGTTCAAAATTTAGTTTTAAAGGTATATTAAGTGGAGAAGAAGAGATTAATGTTCCATTAAATGGAGATTTAATATTTGGAATGAAAGATGAAGATACGGATGAAGTTGTAATTTCATCTACATTTATTAATAAAGAAAAAGAAGGAGATATTAATATTATTTTTATTTGTGATAGAAGTGGAAGTATGTATGGAGAAGGAATTAATGCACTTAGAAATATGTTACAATTATTTTTAAGACAATTACCATTAAAATCAAAATTTGAAATTATTTCATTTGGAAGTAAATATGATTTTATGTTTAAAGAAATGGTAGAATATAATGAAGATACATTAAAAAATGCATCAAATAGAATTTCAGAATTTGAAGCAAATTATGGAGGAACAAGTATGGATGCACCATTAAAAGCATTAATTGATAATAATACAGAAAAATGTCATATAATTTTATTAACTGATGGATATGTTGATAATAAAATAAATACAATTGAATATATTCATAATCTTTCAAAAAAGAATTCATTACATGGAGTTGGATTAGGAAGAAGTTGTGATATTGAATTAATAAGAAATATAGGTAGAATTGGAAATGGAATTTCAGTTATTTCTAAGAATGTAAATTTATTAAAAAAAGAAGTTTCAAAAATTACAGAACGTATTCTTATTCCAACAATTAATAAATGTCAAATTGAATGGAATATTAAAGGAGAAATAATACCAAAAGAAATTAATAATTTTTATGGAATGATAACATGTTATATTCAATGTAAAGAAGAAATTAAAGAAGAACAAAAGATTGAAAGTAAAATAAAAGGAATATGTAGAGAAAAAGAAATTATATACAAAAATACTAAAAATATTAAAATTACAAAAGGAATTATTCTTCATCAATTAATGGCATTTAATCAAATCAGAAAATTAGAAGTTGAAAATAAAAAAGAAGAAGCAAAAAAATTATCAATGAAATATCATATTCTTTGTAAAGAAACAGCATTTATTGCTATTGATAAAACAACTAAAAAAGAAGTTGAATTTATCAAAAATATTAAATTAAATGAAAATTATTCATCATATGGAGGAAATAGAAATTTTATTACACCAATGACAAGAGGACATTTTAAACCTATGATGATGAAATGTTCAGCAAGAATGAATTATGGAACAATAGGACAATGTAATTCAATAATAAATTGTTGTAAGAAAAAGGGAAGACCAAATCAAAAAATTATTGATTATTGTTCAACAAGTTCAAATGATAAAGAAATTGAAACAACAAAAGAACAAAAATATGAAGAAATCATTAAATGTCAAAAAGCAAATGGAGAATTTATAAATGTTGATAAAATAATTAAAGAAATCAAAGAAATTGAAGTTGATGATATAGAAAGTTCAATTATTCAAACATTCTTTGTTATTCAATTATTACAAAAGAAATTTAATGAGCATAAAATTGAATGGAAATTACTTATTAAAAAAGCAGAAAATTGGTTATCTAATAAACCAACATTAACAGAAGATATTAAAATTCGAATTCAATCATTAATCGAATCATTACAATTTTAATTAATTTCATTTTATTCAAATTTTCTTTTTGATAGATTCTTAAATAAATTCAAGAATATAAAATATTTCAATTAATATTAATAATAAAGAATTTAATTATTATCATATTCAAAAATTAATAATAAATAATTTAAAAATAATATTTTTATCTTTTTCTTTTATTTAATATTATTTATATTTCATTTTATATTTATTAAATAATTTAAAACCATAAATTTATTATGTTATATTTATAATAAAATATATTATATAAAGAATAATATAATTTATCTTTAATTCAAAAACAAAATAATTTATTATCCAAAAATTGTTATAATCAAAAGTTAATATATTTGTTATGAGGAATATAATAAAAAACAAATAAATAATTAAATAATTAATAATAATAAAAAAGAAATTAAATATTTTTAAAATTAAGGAAAATAAAATTTTAAAGAAGAAAATTAAATTAAATTAATTATTAATAATAATTAATTTAAGTATTGTTGGACAAAATCATAACAAAAATCCATTGTTTGTTGTGGATATTTTCCAAAAACAGTTTCATCAGATAATACTATTCCATTATAACCATCAGCAATTAAATTTCCTAAATAACATATTTCAGAACGTGTAGGAATAATATTATCACATAAATGTTCCATTACTTCACCAGCCATAATTGATGGACAATTTAATTGTTTCATAAATGTAGTATATTCTCTAACGAATTTAGCCATTCCAACAAATCCTAATTGAACACCCATATCACCTCTACAAATCCAAATTTCATCAGATTGATTTGAAATTGTTTTTAATCTTTCTAAATCCATTTCTCGTTCAATTTTAGCAACAACATATTTTCCATTACTTCTTTTCTTTAAATCTTGAATTTCTTCAACAACACAAACAAATGATAAAGCAAAACATACTTCTTTAATATCTTTTAATTTTTCAACAATTTCTGCATCTCTTTCACTTAATTGATTTTGAATAAAAGGATGTGGTTGTAAATTAAAACCTTTTCCTGGTTTTAATTCACCACCTTTAAGAACTGTTGCTATAGCAGTTTCTGAATCTTTAATATAATTAATAACAATTTCCATTCTTCCATCATCAATTTTAACATGAGTTCCTTGAGAAAGTAATTTAATAGTATTAGGATTTCCAATATGAATTGATTTTGTATCTTTTGTTGGTGTTTTAATAGTTAATTCAACTAATTGATCTTTTGTTAAGATAAGATTTGGTTGTGAACGAGATATTCTAATTTTACTTCCTTGAAGATCAACATAAATTTTTTGACCTGGATATTTATTTACTAATTGATGAATAAATTCTACTAATTCTGGAACTTCCATATGAGAAGAATTTACTCTTAAATATGTATTTTTATGTTTAAGAACAAGTTCAGCTTGATGTAATGTTCTAACAGTAGGAATAAAAATAAAAGACATTTAAATAATTAAAAGATTAATAATAATATTTTAGATTAATAAAAAAGAAATATTAAAAAAAAAAGAAAAAAAAAAATAATTATTTTTAAATAAATTATTAATAAAAAAATAATTTTAAATAAAAAAACAATGAATTAATTATTATTATAATCAAAATTTTTTTTTTTTTTTAATTAAGGGAATAAATAATAATATTAGTATTTGTTGTAACTCCTAAAGAAAAATCATAATCAGGGAAACATACAGAATTAACAGGATAAGATTTAAATCTAAAGATATTTTCATATAATTTTAAATCTTGATATTTTGTTCCAGTAATTACATTATAAAGTTGAACATATTTATTTGATGTTCCTATAGCAAAATAAGGAGCTTCTTCATGTACACATGCACATGTAATTTCAGGAATATTAATTATTTTATATGGTTTAGAATTTTGATTTTCACTAATTTTTCTTATATCATATAAACAAACTTGTGATAAATCACCTTTACTTGTTGTAACTACTGTAAATGATCTAGTAGAATAACCTATATTTACAATTTCATTTTTTTGATCTTTCCAATGATTAATATTTTTATTTCGAATATCAATAATATTAACTATTCCATTAATACCTCCACAAAAAAATGATTTATCACTAAATTGACTTAAACAAGTTATAGTTTCTTCTGTTTTAAATGTATTAATATATTTTTCTAATTCTATATCCCAAAGATATAATGAATAATCAGCACCTACACAAATTTTATTATTTGATAATGTTGAAAAATAAGTATTAGTTATTACTTGATTTGGAATTCCTCTCCATGAACTTATTAATTTATTTTCATTTGACCAATCTCCCCAAATTCTAATACTTCCATCTTCACAACCTGAAATTAATAATGAATCATTTTTATTTATCCAATCAATAAAATTAATTGAAGTATTAATTGGATTAAAATTACAAAATGTTTTTGTTGGAAATTGACTAATTTTATATTCATAAATTCCAATAGTATCATTTCCAATATCTGTTAAAATAACTGGAAGTGTAGGATGAAAAATAACTTTTTTAGGAATATACATATTATTTAATAATATTAATTTATTTTCTTCTTTCATTTCTTTATTTGGAATTTCAATATATAAATCTCTACAACTTGATTGTGTTGCAATAGATTGTTTTTCAAACCATTCTTTTTTTGCTATTTTATTTTCATTAATAACTTCAATTAATAATGGTTTTCTAAATATATCTCTAATAGAACAATAAAATCTTTCTATTAATTCTTCAAATATTTTTTTATTTGTTTTAATAATTTGTTCTATTGGTGATATTATTTGTTTTTTATTATTTATTTTTATTTCTTTTATTTTTTCATTTAATAATATTAATCCTTCTGATGCTCTAATAACATCTGGATCTGGATCATTTCCTAAATATTCTAAAATTTCTTGATATTTATTTCCATTATATCCATTTAATATAATTTTAAAAATTAAAACAACAAGTAAACTTCTTACTGTTGGACATCCATCTTTTGCTAATTCAAATATTATATTTTGTAATTCATTTAATATTTCTTGTATTTCTTCTATTTTTATTTTTGGTATTATATGTATTATTAAATAAATTATTGAACATCTTACAAGTGGACATTTATCTTTAGATAATTTTATTATTATTTTTTGATTTTCTAAATTTAAATAATTTTTATTTTTTATTGTTTCTTCTTCTTCAATAAGATGTGTTAAACATACTATTGACCATATTTTAATTAACCAATTTTCTTTTTTAGATATTTCAATAAAAATATTATATATTTTTTTTATATCTATTTGTTTTATAATTTCTTTATCTTTAAATATTTGTGATAATAAAAATAATCCACATATATTTTCTTTTATATTTTCTTTTTTTTGAATAATTTTTATTAATGTTCCAATAGATCCTTTAAGATAATGTGAAATAAGACTTGAATCATATGAAAATATTTTTGCTAAACAAAAAATTCCAAATTCTTCTAATCCTTCTTTTTCTAAACTTTGTACTAATAATGGTATAAATCCAATATTAACAACTCTATCACATGCAAAAAATCCTAAATCTACATATTCACAAATTAATCCAAATACTTCATATGTATAATCTTTTCTTAAAAATAATCTAAATATCATTGGTAATATACATGGTTTAGATGCTTTAGATGGATGAATTGATAACCATGTTTTTAATGATATAATTAAATTATTAAAAAATGGTGTTGGTAAATAATTAATTTGTCTTGTTGAATTAATAAGTTTAGGAATTGCAAGTTCTAATACACTATCCCATGTTTTCCATAATAAATGATTTGATGTATCTGGAATTTCTGGAAATGATTGTGGTTTATAATTAAATTTTTTCATTATTCTACATGCTAAAATAAAATGTCTAAATAATGATGCTACTGCAATATCTTGTCTAAATAATTTCATAAAAATTTCTGCTGGTAATACATTCCATGCAATTGTTTCAATAATAGATGTTAAAATAGCATATAATTCTGAAAATGGTTGTATTTTTGTTTTATGTTCTATAGGTAATGTTTTTAAAAATGATGTTGGTAATTTAATAATATTTTCACTTGAATAATAATAATCTAATATTGCCATTGATAATGGTGTAGTTAAACATGTTGAAAATATATCTATTGGATATTTTGGATTAGTTTGAGGTGCTTCTAAATCTCCATATCCTGAAAAAACAATATATTCTCCTCCTTTTTTATTTTGTTTTTTTATTATTTCATTTCGTTTTATAAACCATTTAAAAAGTCTTTCTGAATATGGACAATCAAATACATAAACTCCTCTTTCTCCAATACATGAATAAATTTCACTAATATTCATTGGTACATATGTAGTTATTTCTTCATCAAAAAACCAACATTCATGATTAATTGTTGGTAATGGTACTCCATGTCCATTATAATGAAATAATATTCTATCTTTTCCAAATCTTTCTCTTGCTCCAATACATGCTTTTTTTACTTTTTCTATTGTTGGATCCCATAATCCTTCTGTTGTTACTGTTGGTGTACAATATCTTTGATATTGAATTCCAATTTGATTTGTAATTTCATATCCTATTTCTCTTTTTTTATGTTCTTTAGTATTAATCCATCCAAATATATTTGAACTTACTTTAGGTTTTTTATATCCTGGTGGTTCTATTCCAATATTTAAACAACAACAAATTATAAGATGTGGTGTTCTAACTATTCCTGGTGTTTGAAGATATTGATACTTTTTACTTTTATGTTTTGCTTCATGAACTCCACAAATAGAAATATATTCTTCATTATTTATTTTCATCTATTTCTTAGTCTTTTCTTTTTATTCTTCTAAATTAAACAAACTCTTTCAAATAAATTACTTTTTGTCATACTCCTTTAATTTTCTTAATTTTTTAGTTCTTTTTTTTTTTCTTATTTTTCTTTTTTTTTTTTCTTTATTTTATAATCTCTCTTCTTCTCTTATAATCAATTCCTTCCTTCTTTTTTTTTTTTTTACAACTTCTTTCTTCTATTGTTAATTTATTTCTATCTTAACTTCTTCCTTTCTAAATTTGTTCAACAATTCGACTTTATTTCTTTTCTTTTTTATTATCTTTGTACTAAATGTGTTTCCTTATATTTAAAATTTAACACTACCTATCTATTCTCTCATCATTCACTACTTCTTTTAATCATTAGTAATAATAATTTCTATAGTTCTATTCTTGGTTTAATAGTGTAAAACTTTTTTGATAAAAACAATGTCCTTCTTATTTGCTAATTGGTTTATTCTTATCATTATACATATCTTTGTTCTCTTAAGTATCTTTGTGTTTTTATCTACCTAGCCATTCTTTGACATTTTCATTAATTCCTTTTATCAATAAAAAGTTCTAGAAGAAGAACTTTTTGATTATGTGAACATCATCAATTCAAAATATAAAAAGATTCTCATTGAAAAAAATTTTAGAATCAAAATAAATACTATTCAGAGTTTGAACAATTATTAATCAATCATTAGATACATAAACTATTATTGAATAAAATTAATCTAATTTTATTGTTGATTCACTTCTTTATTAGATTAAACAAATTAATACTGAATTGAATTTGATTTTATATTGATTTTATCAATAAAATACAATTTCCTCTTTTGTTCTTTTACCTTATTTTCTTTTTACTTCAAATTTGTTTTTTCTATAATTAACTCAATTCATATACTTAAATATTTTATTAATTCATATGTTTAACAGTTTCTTATCTTAAAAAAAACTTGTTTTTTTATTCTTACTTTATTCTGTATAATAAAAAATGTATATAAAAATAATATACATAATATTTTATTCAATATATCTCTTTGACTCTATATTATTATTTTATATTATTGTATTTAATGATATTAATGTGTGTATTTTCTTTAAAATTATTTTATAAATATCTTTTGTTATTGTTAAACAATGAACAAGTAACTTTTATTTTTTTATTAAAAATTTAAAAACGAAAATTACTTTGATTTTAAATTTTTATATTCTATTATACTCATTTTATCTACATTAATTCCATTTTATTCTTTATTTATTTTATTATATGATTATTTGGTAATCTATTATACATTATTAAACATAATGACTATCTTTATTAGTAGTATATTTAAATATATTTATTAAATTCTTATTTATATATCATGTATTTAGATTTTAACATTGATCAATACTATTTTATTGTTTTTTTTTGTACTTTTGATACTTGAATGATTCATAATTAATTTTATTATATAACAACAACTAATAATTCTATAATAATACTTCCAGAGAAATTATCTATATTGTTATTTTTCATTATTTCATTCAATAGACTGTTGATAATATATATTTTAATGTTAAGAATAATCATATAAAACTTCTTATCACTCAAACATATTATTAAACTACCAACTATATTAATTATTATTCAAAATTACAATTCATTTGAATTGTTTCATTGTTAATAATTATTATTTGATTGAAATTATTTTCATCTATCTTTTCAATATTTTTTTTTTGAAAGAATTATTCATTCTGTCAATCTCTCTTATTTTTATTCATAAATATACTATCATTTCTAAATTTATTATATTCTTCATCTTGATTGTTATATATAATATCTCTGTGTTCATATATTTAATTCTCAATTAAAATAAAATCACTTTATCTCTTATTTATTTACTCAACCTTATCCAATAAATGAATTAATCAACTATTTCATATGTTTTGCTTACCACTATTATATCACTTACATAAACACAAATCATACTACTTCTATTCTTCTTCTTTTAACATGAGGATAAGATAATAATATACCTTATTTCTAATCCAATTTCTCATCTCATTTTTCTTACTTTAAACAAATTATCTTCTTTTAAAATAACAACACACCATATTATGAAAAGATAAAATTTGCTTTTGAAAATGATATTCAATTTAATTTAATTATTACCTTAATATAAAACTTATCACTAAAAACTATCTTTTTCTTCTTGTTTCCTCAATCGTTTAATTTCCTATCTCTATACACAATATATGGACACTTTGTGATTGTTCAAAATAAATGTCTATCAATTCTTATATAATGCCTGTTATTGTTTGTCTTTTTTTTTATCTCATTCACTGAATCAGTTCAACCAGTGCACCCACCCTTATCTTCTTTCTTTTTAGATACGTTTTATAGCTATAATGTTCATTGATAAATCATAATGTTTGAGCTTTGTACCCGTGTAACATTAAACTCTAACAACCAACTAATTGTCTCAATGACTCAAATCATATCAAGTATCGCCCAAGACTATTTGACCATCATAAATGACCAATTATTACTTTAGGTTGTCATCACCTTCTTTTAAGAAAGGAATGATAACAACAAACGTTCCATAGAAAAAATTGTCAATAGACTTCATTGTTATTATTCAAACTTCTTACAAATGCTTCTTTGAAAAAGGGTTGGCAATAGTTATAAACCCTTTAATAGAGACTAGAGGACTTTTGTTCAATCGATCTTTTCATTTGTTTCATTTTGAAGGAAGTAGACAAGCTGTCTAATTAAATAGCAATGCGTTATCATTTTCTTCTAAAACTTTTTTGTTTTCATTAGGTCGTTATTGTTTGTTTCATAACTTTTGAAAGGATTCACTTGACCACAAAACTATTTGTCCATTTTAATCACCAAATATCTAGAGTAATGATGAAAAACTACATCATTTATTCAGTTTGTAAATAGATTTTAAAAAAGAAGTGTTAATTTATTTTTAATAATAAAAGTAAATTGAGAATATAAACAAAAAAGTGATTTTGGAGCTAACATGAGCAACTGGTGAAAGGAATGATAATTGCAAAAGAATATGTAAAAGGGGTTGTTATAAATTTTTTTTTTAAAATGAGAAAAACTAAAAAGAACCAAAAATATAAATCGAAAAAAAAACAGAAAAAATCTTAAAAAATCAGTGTACATATGAGTGATATTATTGAAGAGAAGATTCCCAGTAAAGTTGATTTTGATAAATTACTCTTTTCAAGAAGACACAATCTACTTGAAGCAGTTGTAAGAACTGTTTGTTTCATTTTATCTTGAAACCAATTTATTTTTTTCAAAAATTGTTTTCTTTTTGAATTAAAAGAAAAAAGATATTTATTAAAAAATAGCTTGTCACACAACAACGACAAAATAGAAGTGCTGAATATGCCCGAATTATTTCTGATTATTTTAAAGCACATGGAAGATTTATGGAATTAATTACATGGGCAATTGATATTGATTTTCTTAGTACTGATACATTAATGATTGACTCGAGTTCATTCCAATATTCTACATTTTTCATTCCATTTTATAATCAATTTGTACGTTATTATTTTAAAAATTATTTACTTGATACCTTTGAACCAATTATCGATGGATTATCTACTGGAGGTGATTATAGTGAAGAGTTTAAAATCGCTATGAATTTCCAATCTAAAGAAATTACTACTTCAGAAGATATTGCAGCTTATCAACAATCTCTTGACACAATCTCTAAAATTTTCTGCAAGTTAAATGATGAGTTTATTAAAAATGCACAATATTTACCTGATTTTGTTAGAATGTTCTTTAATCGATTCTTTACACTATTAAGAGAAGGAGATATAGAAGATGTTGTAATAGAAAAAATATTTAATGAATTATTCTTTACATATACTATTTGTCAAAATGTAAATGATCCATTTCTTATGATGTATGATGATGAAAAAAGAACTCAATTAGTACCTGTGTTATATAAATTAGAATTTGTTGCATTAGTCATTCAAAATTTGTACACTAATACTTCTTTATGTGAAGGTTTTCTTATTGATCTTCAACAAACTATTAGAAAATTCAATGGATTAAATATTGGAGAAAAGATGTTTAAATACATGGACAGTCATCCTGCAACAGTTAAAGAAGAAGAAGAAAGTGAAGAAGAAAAAGAACGTGCATTCAATAATTTATTAGATGCAATTAGAAATAATATTCAAGGAATATTAGATTTATTGCCAGGTAATTTAAGTAATCAATTATTAGAAGCAATTAAATTAGAGAAACACGTTTATGACGATTACCAAATCTATCATGCTACAATGGATACAATCAATACATTTACTCAAGCATATAATGCTAAAATAAACAAATTAGATACAGAAAATATATCACTTAAAAATGAATATGATAAGTTGTTTAAAGAACAACAAGATTTAATTCAACAACTAGATGCCTTAGAACGAAAATTAGGTCAGGAAGATCTTGAAAAGTTATCATCATGTTTAGATGATGAATTAATTTATGGGGATGAATTTAATCTTATTGAACACTCTACTTCTAATCGCTCTTCAAGAGACTCATCTCGGACACGTTCTAGTATCCCACGACCAATGTCCTCACTTCAAGACACATCACCTACATTAACACCGAGACTCTCTAATTCAAGTTCACAAAAAAGCTCACCAAAACAAAGCAAATTATTTAGTAAATTCTGGAAAACTGAAAAGGAGAAAGAGAAGGAAAAACAAGAGAAAAAAGAGACCAAGGAAAAAGATAAGAAGGATAAAAAAGAGAAAAAGGAGAAAAAATAAGACATTACTTTTTGTTTTAAATAACAATTAAAATGATTATTTATAGAACATGAAATAAAAAACAAAAAATTTTTAAGAACTTAAAAGAAAGGAATTTAAGATCAAAGAAAATGGAAAGTAACACACAACCACTTATTCCCCAACAAAATCATAAAAAATATCATACATACTCATTTATAACATGTTTTGCTGTTGTTGTTAATTATATTGTTGGTACAGGAGTATTTGGATTACCATCAGCATTTTATTCAGCAGGAGTACCATTATCAACAATTACAATTATTATATTTTGCATATTATCATGTATCACTGCAATTTATGTAATTGAAACATTATCAAGATCACATGGATATACTATGGCAGTAGAATCAGGAGAATATAAATGTGAAATGGGATATGAAGTATATGATTATTCATCTATGGCACAAATGTGGGGAGGAAAACCAGTTAAATGGGCAACCACTATTACATTAATGTGTAGTGCATATGGATCATTATGGGCATATGTTGCTACATGTGTTTCTACATTATCAACATTGTTTTGGTTAATTTATTCAAATGAACCAATGAAATGTGATGTATCTAATAGATGGCATTTTGATTGGAAGTGTAATGTAACATATTTTACATCAATAGGTGTATATGGACTTGTTGTTATTCCACTCACATTTATTGACCTTACAGAACAGTCATTACTTCAATTAGTATTAACTGTTTATAGATTTGTGTCATTTTTAATCATGTTTATTACATGTGTTGTACAATTAGGAAAAAATGGACCAATAGAATTAAAAGTAAATACATATGAAGATGTTAGTTTTCTTAAAGAATTTAGATGGGTTGGTTTTGGTTCAATGTTTACACATGTTGCATTTGCATTGGCATGTCAACAAAATTTACCTGATGCACTAGCACCATTAAATAAAAAAAAATTTTCACATATTGCTACATTAGGATCAATAGTATTGTGTTGTTTTATTTATATTGGGATTGCATTAGTTACATCATGGTGTTTTACAACATCAACACCATCACCAGTAACATTAGCATGGGCAGATTATAATGGATATGAAGGAGGATGGGGAGTAGGAAAAGCCAAATGGTGGGCATTAATTATTAAATATATGATTTTATTATTCCCAATTGTTAATCTCACTAATGAATTTCCATTAGTAGCAACAACATTATCAACTAATATGAGAACATTGTTTAGAAATAAAAATAGTAAAAGAACAAAATTTATCACTAAAGCATTAGCTGCATTTCCACCATTTATTTTAACATGTGCAGTTGGAAGTTTAAGAGTAATATTCGATGTTACTGGATCATTTTCATTTATGTTATGTTTCTCTTTACCATGTATTTTCCATTATTTATCAAGAAGAAAAGTTATTGCTAAATTTAATAAAACTAAAACACCATTTAGTGGACCATGGTCAAGAATTGAAGTTACAGGAGCTGTATTTATTATATCATTATTGCTCTTTATTACTGCAGTAGTATTTATAATAAAAGAATTAGTCACGAATTTTACTATTGCCTAAATACATGTTTTAATTGCAATTATTCCTTTTTTCTATTATTTTGTGTTATACTTGAAAAAAGTTCTAAGTTTTAATTTCTTTTTTAACTGAAGTGGTTATTAAAAGTAATTAAAAAGTAAATTAAATATCGCAAACAAGTGATCCCCCATCATGTGCATTGCAAAATTCTTGATATAATTCTTTAAATTTTTCATCAGTACAATCAGTATCACTTAATGAATATTTCCATTCTCTTAAACATGATCGTTTACCAGTAGCTGTTGGGTTTTTATTTATGCATTCTAAATAATCATCTGAGTATTTTCTCAATGCCCAACTAGCACAAGAAGCATTAACTATAACAATACACAAAAGAAGTACAATCAATGTTTGAACCAATTTCATTTCTGGATCTGTTTTTATTCTTTACTAGTTCTCAAATTCTTTTTCCATCTTATTTGAATTTTACTTGTTATATATAACGAATCTTACTTGCATATCAAATAGAATTGTTATTATTTCAGTTTCATCTTATTCTTTTCACTATCACTCTCTCTCCAATAACCATGAGACCTCTCTCTGTTCATGAAAAATATGTTATTTAAAAGTGGTTATCTGATATGAAATATCACCAATGGCATCAACTAAAATGAAAGAAACAGCAGAAACATTTATTGGAAAAGAAGTAAAGAATGCAGTTATTACATGTCCAGCATATTTTAATGATTCACAAAGACAAGCTAATGAATATGAACATTACATGAATAAATGTAATGAAAATTAATTTTTGAAGATAACTTTGATATGAATAATAAAATTATCAGTACTTACCAAGACAAACAATGTTTTTCACTTTTATGAGACAGTTAAATTGGTTGTGTAGAGACAAATGTATTTTGAATCTTTTGAAAACACGTGATAAGTAAAATAATGTATTAAAGTAATTAGACTAAAAAATGACTTATACTATCATTTATATTCAAAAATAATAACAAAGTGCTACAAGTTATTATAGGTAGATTATTTAAAAAAATAAAGAATAAGAGAACTTAAAAATTTTAATAACGGATATCCATTTTGGTATTATAAATACTAATAAGTGGCCAAGGGGTAAATTTAATATGTCATACTTCTATTATATTGAAAATTTGTGTACCTTCACATAAAAGTTTGTTTATTTAATATATTTAAAGAACTTTATATTTAGGATATTAGTTATTTCATACTTTTAATAACTATTGTTTGTAGTGTTATTGAAATATCCTTATTATTACTTGTGTAATTAAGTTATTGATAATACTATATTAATTATTTTTAGAATTTATTCTTTCTCTATTTTCAGTAATTTATATTCAATTTGTATTTATTTGCAGTTATTCATTTACTTTCTTTATTATATTTATTGCCAATTAGAACTAATCTTCTTACCAAATGTCTTCTTCATTATTTTAATTATTCTATCTAAATCATCTTTTTACTTCTATCATTTCACCTATTCCTGTATTTGATATTTATATTGTAAATGTACTCTTAGTAATTCTTTAGTACAACCATCTCACAGTAAGATTATTTCTCTTCTTAAATTATTGCATTATATTATATACTCGACTTTTGTTGATATTTGTATATAATTTGAGATAAAATGAATTTTTATTCGTTCATCTTTTCTTTAAGAATTCAAAGTGAAAACTCAAAAAAGAAAAATTAAAAAAAAATAACAAAAACCCTGTAGAATTAAAAGAGTCAGAAGCAGTGATATGAAAGCAAAAGGAACTAAGAAACAAACTGTGGAGAAAAAGAATGTTTTCTTTACTAAAACTGGGCTTGATGCAGATTTTGTAACAACACTTTCTGACCATATATTTATGTTTTTATTAAATAAAGGTGGTGCTACAGTTATTGAAACTTATGATTACGTTAGAGAATCAGGGATATCTAATGTAGATATTAAGAAAGAAGAGATTTTATCATTGCTAGAACGATTAGTTTATCTTGGAAATGCAGAAGTTTCGGTCGCAAAAAACGGTAATAGTAGTTTATATGGTTCAAAAATATTTAAACCAGTAAAATTTATGGTAGGAAGATGTCCATTATCTGAGGTTCCATGTTATAATTGTCCATATTCATCAATTTGTTCACCAACAAATGTATCATGTAATCCAAGAAATTGTAAAGCCTTTGTTGATTTATTAAAAGTACCAGATGACCTATAGGAAAGAGATTTTTTATTTACTTTTTATTAATTAAAAACCATAGTGATTGTATTTTGTTTTATTATTTACTTATTAATAATAAAAGAAAATATCAAACAAAAAAATCTTTGCAATATAAATTAATCAACAATTCCATACCTCAAAAGATATTCCCATATTGAAGTATTAAATAATTCAATCTTAGAGCAATTAACAATTTTAAAATTTTTACAATCTATAACATTCAATGTTGTCAAAGAATATGGTAAAGTAGTTTTTCCTAAAAGAGGACATCCTTCAAATACTAAATTCTTTAATAAAGGAATATTCATATCTTCTGTATCAAAACAAACACATTCTAATGAAGATATTTGTTTTAATGAAACTATTTTAACAGAATTTGGAAGATGAATAAGTTTAACTCCAGTACATCTTTGTAAAGTTAATGCATTTAATTTTTTTGGAAAAGAAAGACTTTCTTGCAATACACATTCAACAAAATTAACTAATTCTAAATTATCTCCTAAACATGGAAATACTCCACTAAAATTAATTCTGTTAAATGATATTGATATTAAACTATCCCAATCATAATCAACAAACCCCCTTACATAACTAATTCTCCCTTCTTCTGTTTTTCTTGGAGATACTACTACACTTTTTGGAAGCATTTTTTCAATAATAGTTTTATTTAACAACGTTTCATTAGCAGCAAATTGAAATAATCCTGTTGGCATTAATACAAATCTTAATTGACTTTTACCTTCAACTATTTTATCTCTAGTAATATATGGTAGTACTGAAGTGTCAACAATTTCATCACAAACACATACAGTAATTTTTTCAGTTTCAATTGTTCTTAGTTCTTGTATTGTACGTTCATTTACAGACGTTGCTTTTAATACAAATTCAGGATTAGATTTCATTTTTAATCCTTTTAATTTTGAAGTAATATCACTTAGTTGTGCTTTAATAATTACTTTTTCTAAAAATTCTAATGACTCTAATTCTTTAATTGCACTTAAAAGATGATCATCATATGAAGTATGTTCAAGGTCTAGTCTGAGTATTTTAAGTTTTGTATTCCCTGAAACACATCCAACAGAATAATGTTGCATTGAAATAGCTAAATCAACAACTTCAGCTTTTGGTAATATCTTACGAAAATTAAAATTAAATTGAACATTAACACGAAGATGTAAAGTTTCGACATTTTGAATTCGTTCTAAAACTTCTTTTCTTTTATCTCCTGAGAAAAAAGTATCAAGAAAATAATTGTCACATGTTAATTCACGTATTGTTGGAAATAATAATAATTCTCTCATAAACTCTCTCTTTTCACTTGAAAAATAAAAGTTTACAGTACGTGCTAAAACAGCTTGTTGAAATTTTTTGGATATTAATATAATCTTTTTTAATTCATCAGCAATTCCCATATATTTAAGTATCTTTGAAATGATAAGTGGTTGTGTTATTTTTGTTTTTGGTAAATTCATACGTTTTATTAATTGTAGTTTAACAAAATTTAATTGTTTTAAATGAACTTCTTGACAAGAAACAATTTGTGACTGCTCATCAAATCTTCTTATAAAGAAATCACATACCTCTATTTTTTTTTTCAATAAAGTTTCAGAAATGTCTTTGTCTTTTCTAAACTTCTCAAGAAGGTAATTACTGTTTAAGTACTGTTCTTTTAATTCATTTATTTGTTCATTTAATTCAGAATTATATTTATCTATTTCTTTAAACCCTCTTAAAGAATTAACTTTTCTCTCTAACTCATCTTCATTAATTATTCTTTGACTAAAACGTCTTTTGTAAATTTCAGTATCTACTTTAAGTCTTAACTCAAGTAACTTTTTTTTATCTTTTTCTCTAGAATTAATTTCATTTTCAAGAAGAATTATCTGATCAGTTATTTCGTTTCTTTTTTTTTGAAGTTCTTCTAAACTAATTTCTTTCCTCTCCTTCTTAATGCTAAGAGACATAATCTTATTCATTTTTTTAGATCTCTTCTAACCCATTATTAATTTTTTCTTTCTTATTATTAAATATTTAAAATTATTAATAATTTCTTTTTCTTTCTTTTAATAATTATCATTTCTATTAAATATAACAAAAATTTTCAATAACAAAAATTAAACTTTTTCATTTGACTTCTGTCAAAAAAATTCCATAAAAATTAACTAGTAAAAAGGAAATTCTACACAAATTTAGATTCTTTTTTTATAATATTGAAGCAACATTAAAGAAATAAAATCCAATTCTTTTTTATTATTATTAACTTAATATAGAATTATAGTTATAGATAATGTTTAAGAAGTGTGGTTGAATAAATTATGTTATCTAGTAGAATTCACGAAGGAAGATAAATAAATGATAAAAATACAAATAACAAAAATTATTAATAAATGTTATTTAAAATATATGTTATATTTTTCTTAAAAAAAGAATAAACTTTTTTCTTTAAATGTCCAAATTTCAATCTTTTAATTTTGTTTTGTCTCATCTTTCTTTTCTTTTTATAAACATTCTTATGTTGCTTAATAACTTAATTCTTAATTCTTGTGTTATAA